TTCTAAGTATTTAGATCATTGAACTCAATATGTTATAGAAGCACCTTTGGAAGCAATCACAAATGCAAGGCTTTTTGTGTAACTCTCTACCAACTTTGTGCATTAGCGAGTTTTGCAGATTTTCACATCTCTCTCCACTTGCTTAGGAATTGCTTATGGACTTATTAAGGACTTATGCTTAAGTCCTTCCACAGATTCTCATTAGGATTCCATTCTTCACTTTGACCGAGCCACTCAAGGACTTTCACTTTCATATTGTTAACCACTCCAGTATACCTTTGGCCTGTTGCTCTGAGTCACTGTCTTGCTGAAAGGTGAATTTTTAGTGAGTATTTTGTCTGTACTTTGCTCCATTCATTTTTTCTTCTATCCTGACATGTTTTCCAGTTCCTGCTAAGGAGAAGTATCCCCAGACCATGATCCTGCCATCACCATGCTTTATAATGGAGATGGTTTTGACTGGGAAATGTGCTGTGTTGGGTCCGCACCAAACATATTGCTTGACTTTTAGACTGAAAAGTTCCAGTTTGGTCCCATCTGTCTACAGCACCTTTTGCCATACTTGTGCACGATCATTCAAGTACTTTGTTGCAAATTCAATGAGGACTTTGAGTTGCCTGATTTTAAGTAATGGCTTCCTTCATGCCAGCCTGCCATTCAGACTTTGTGAAGTGTTTTGGATATTGTTGACTGACACACATCTCCCATCTAAGTCATTGTATCTCTGTAAAAGTCATTGCACTTCCAGCAGCATCCCTCACCAGTGTCCTCCTTGTCCAGTTGCTCAGTTTGCTCTGATATATGTAAAAAATATTAATTGTTGCTTCAAAGTGTCATGGCCACAAGCTTTAAAGGTACACAATGCACTGTATATACTGGTTTAATTTACATTTTTAGGTTCGAGGCAGTACTGTTTGCAATTGAGTCTTCATTTTGACTTCTACAGATTTATATTAATGTACAGTGCTTTCAAGTTCCGCGAGTTTCTATGGGCTTATTGTTTCTGATTAATAACAGAAACATGATACTGTCACAGAAAAACCAACAATATCTTAAACACTGAATTAAAAGAGGTAATTGTAGTGGCCAGAAGCTCTCTGTTTTTTACTCAGTTTTGTAACAGAGAAGAATGCGTAGATACTAAAGCAAAAGCTAAAACAGACAAAAAAAAGTCATCTGACTTTTCCTTAATCCTTTCTTTTTGTGCATTTTAGTCAAGTAATTACCAATACATGATATTGGCAATTATTATTCATTGCAACTGCTAATCCCTCCTTAGCCTTTGAGAACATACAAGGAGCTCATTATTTTTCTACTTCCACAAAAAAAGAAAAACATGTATTCTTTTATAGTCTTATATTATAGTGATTATATTATGAAGAGAAAAATGTTGTTTTTGAGTTAAGATATTACTATAAAACATTCTGAAACTCTGTAAGAGACGAAATTCATTTCTACAGCTTTGACATCACTCTGTAGTAGAGTGCTATGTAACCCCATTGTCTGAATCAACAGTGCTTTAATGTTTCATTCCAGCAGAGCTCTTTGCTTAGTTACTTCAAGTTAACATTGCCAAGGTCTATCAACTGAGTACTTAAAGCTACCATCACAATCTGTCATAACTCCACAGGGAAAAAAAGGAAAGAAACCAACAAACAATGACATTTAAAAACGAAGACTAATCTAAATAAGCAAATAAGCCAGTTTAAATTCTTATTTCGTTCTTAAAGGAAGTTCCTAGTTCGTCATTTGTAATGTGTCATTTGACTGTTTTTGCAGCAGATGTCCCACTTTGCACCTGTTGAAATGATGCATGACCTGAAAGCTCAGACTTCCGGGATATAT